GAAATTTTAGTGAAAGCATGCACCACAGGATAAAGGTAGCATGCTTGCACTAGAGTTAGGTAGTGCTAGTGAAATATCTCATGCTGTTATTTGATTCATGAAAACTAATAGCCCTAAGAAATTTAATTTAGAAAGTTGAAGATTTTGAGTAATATATAGATTACTTGACATGTAGGTTATTATTCAATTGAGAGATTTTATATGAAAATATTAAATGCTACTGGCAGTTGCTAAAGATTGTACTTTTTAATTATTCTATTTTTCATCCAAAGTCTCTTCCTTTTTTATCATTGACATTTTAGGTTGCTGACAGAATATTCCTTTAGCTCAAATGTGTAATATTCTGGATGATAGAGGCACATAGTAGGCACTCAATAAACACTTGTTAAATAAATGACCTTAATTTACCATGTTCAATTTGTAGGTTACTGCTGAAATTATTTTGGCTTCTACTTCAATTTTTCAAGTATGCAAGGGATTTTACTGACTTTCTCAGCTCAGTGTGATTAATGAGATTTCTAAGCATGTTGAAATTGGTGCTATCGAATATCTTGGGTCTGAAACCAGGGAGTTGTTGATTGAGTATGCTTATGTCTCCTCTGACTGAGGCCAGACAGAAAAAATAGGCCCTCTAAACAAGGCTTAAAGTTCTTGATTGAAGATAACTTCAACTGAGCATGAAGGCACATAATAATGTGTTTCATGAGTTTAACCAAGTATTTGTTTATGTCCACATTTTAATTTTAAATTAAAGTTTTGGGTCTTCAGTTTTCATAAATAGGCAGATGGATCCAAAATCACAAAATTATTTATGTTTCTGCCATATTTAAGGTCTATTTTTATGATGTGACTTAAAAAATGTATTTGATTATCTCATTTCAGTGATTTTGGTGGGATTTCTGAAGGCTCCATTTTGGTTGTGGAATAACTAGAGCCACAGTCATATTAGAATATATTTTTCATGTCAGTTGTATATGTCATGGCTTTGAAGATATTGCTAATCAGGTCAAATTTTTATTTTTGAGTAAAAGATACCAAACTAATTTGTGTATGTCTTTGATCATGAAGGTGTGAGCTATGACTAGGAAAACTGATGACGAAGGCCTAGGGAAAAGAATCCACATCATACTGCATTAAATCATTATTGTCATATCCGTATGTGAGAGAGACACAGCTATATTATCAGATCTTCTATAGTGTAAATGGTCAGCAGAAACTGGAAAGATTGACATTCTTATTAAAGCAGCTTGCACAAGCTTTAGTTGATCATCATTGATACATGTACTTTAAAACAATTTTATAAACACATTGGAGAATGTAGTCACATTCATTCACTTAAAAAACACTGTTTCCTTCACAGCAAGCAGGTAGCATTCTTGTAAGCATACGTAAAGGAGTATCATGCATCTTTTGATGTTTTGAACTTATTTTTTTGTTCCTTGTAGTTGTCTGTTATTCTAAGTTGACCAGATCATTTTTTTCTCCCAACTCTTCTTATTTCTAATTGGAGAAAAATGCTTTACAGTGTTGTGTTGGTTTGTATTGTATGACCACATAATCAGCTCTCAGTATACATATATCCACTCCCGTGGGAAGGGGATGAGATCATTTTTTAATTCCTGTATTTAAGGTGTTAAATTTCCTCTCTAAATTAGGTGTTGCCTAAAAACTTATGACACCCTCAAATTCTAGCATCAAGTCTGGTGACAATATTCTATAACATTTGTTTTGGGTCTCTCCACAATGTTGCTAGGCTGCTGATTTCTGCCTTTTGCACGAATGTTTCCAGCAGAGTGTGCAAGTTTTTCACAGTGGTAATATCCAAACCATCTACTCCATCCTTAGATTGTTGGCTGAAATAATTTGAGAAATAAAATTGAGATCATTACTGATTATCAGAATTTATTTTTCAATTTTAAAATTAAAACAAATTATTATGGGCAAAAAAGAAAGAAAGAAAGAAAAACCCTGTACTAGGGTAAAACAAGAAAGGTGTAGTTAGAAGCTGAAAAGTGAGAATTTGTAATGCCTGTGATTGACTTTTCTTTCATGGTTTGCTGCTCCTTCCACGTTACGATTGCTGCAGGCAGCTCACAGCACATAGCTACTGGCTACTCTCTCACTCCAGTCTTCTAAGAGTGTCTTACATAATATAATATAGTCAGAGGAGTGACAACCATCACCATTGTTATATTCTATTGACTAGAAGCAAGTCACAGGTCCCACCTGCACTCAGGTGGAGTGACTAACAGATTTTAAACCCAGCATTCTTCTGTGGGTCTGCAAAGCCTTTCCCTGTCTCAGTGGAAATAAAGTTAAGGAAAGTGTTCTCTCATTTATCATTTATTCAGTAAATATAAAACATTTGCAATGTGTGAGTGAGACTTAGAACTGCATAGCAGTGCTGCGGTGGTGAAAGGACAAAGGCAGTCTTTACCCTCAGAGACAGCATGGAATAGCAGGAGGAGCACAGAATTGTGAGTCCTGAGATTCCAGCTCCAGGGTAGTTATGAACTGGCTCCATAATTTTGGTAGATGTATATTTCCTGAGACCTTTTATCTGAAATTAGTAATTATACCAGCTATAACATTTTATTATTCTACAACTGATTCTTTTAACTTTGACATCTGAAAATTATTTTAAAAGCATGTCAACTTTTAATAATTTGATTATTGGTTTTCTATTTGACACTTACATACCTAAGATGCTGTTTCCCTCTTCTAGCATCTGTATACACACACACACACACACACACACACACACACACACACATACATACTCACGTGCATATTTTGAAGATGTGTAGGGCTTAAGATTAAAGTGTGGCCCTACTCTGTTAATGTGTTCAGACAACAGTATAACAGATACAGAAGGCAGCTTGTTTTAAACTTGTAGCTAAACATGACATTCAAATGTTAATTGGATGAATAAATCTTGTTCATTTTACAGACATGGAAATGTCAATGGAATAAAACTATTTATCACAAGGTAATGGTCTCCTGCCGCCAGATAAATGCCAAGATGAACATACTTATTGAAAATGTATCAAAATATTCTATTGCTATTTATTGAAAATAAAGGTTGAGGAAAAGTTCAACTTTTCAGGTTAAACATGAGAAATGCTTTGTCTGTGATATTAGTATATTGCTGTATTAAACACAATGTGCATGGTATAGAAACATGAGAAAACTCTTAAGAAATAATGGTCTATAAATAAATCTTTTAGCTCTAAGCTACGAGAATTACTGGAATGGTGCAGTGGGGGCTAGGAGGAGATACCTAATGTATACTGAACTCTTGTTATGTGCCTGACGCAGTCCTGGTGTATTCACTGATGTAAGCCATTCACAAGGATAGAATTTGAGAGGGATTACTATCCTCATTTTCAGGTAAAGTTAAAAGCAAAAGAGTAAATTAACTATACTAATTAGAAAATACCTTGCAGTCACATAGAGAATTAAGTGCCAACACCAGGATTCAAACTCAGCATGGACTTCAGATCTCCTGCTTTTCCCCTACACCCCACACCTGTACTTATGTCTGTAAGTCTGAATGCAATATCTTTTGATTTGGAGGGCTTTTGAGTAGATTATTTCTCCAAGTTGTATTGTACCTAGTGACCAAATACTTCTTTGGATCTAATAGGCTGATGAGTTTTCTTTAAACGATATTGTCTACTTGCTTAAAGAAAAGAGCACACCCCTAAAGTCTTGAGGACTTGGTTGACTCTAAATGAGCCAAGTAGCACTAAATTCTGAAGCTTCCCTGGTAGCTCAGATGGTAACGAATCGACCTACAATGCAGGAGACCCCGGTTCAATTCCTGGGTCGGGACGATCCCCTGGAGAAGGGATAGGCTCCGGTATTCTTGGGCTTCCCTGGTGGCTTAGTCTGTAAAGAATCTACCCACATTGTGGGAGACCTGGGTTTGATCCCTGGGTTGGGAAGATCCCCTGGAGGAGGGCATGGCAACCCACTCCAGTATTCTGGCCTGGAGAATCCTCATGGACATTGTGGGCTGCAGTCCATAGGGTCACAAAGAGTCAGACATGACTGAGCGACTAAGCATAGCACAGCAATTAATTATAATGTTAAGACCACCTTCTTTTCAGCAGTGTGTGGTTTTATCGTAATTCCTTCTTTCTGCTTTCCTTTCTGAACCTAGATGTCTATTTCTCCACTTTATTGTGTCATACTGTTCTTCGTAAGATACAGTATTTGGGTGATTATGAATATAGGTGAATAACTGAAGTTGCTTAAACAAAGAAAAGGAGGATTATTGTTCACTAAAGCTTTTACTGATTTCTTCCTGGCAAGTCCTTCTCAAGTCCCTCCACCCCTAACAGACAGTGGGTGTTAATGCCTCCCTCCTCTGGGCTGTCAGAGAGCTGCAGTTTTCCTCTGGCTATGACCAATCTACCAATCAATACAAAATACTGATTTTAGTATCAATATTTACTGATACATACTTGTCCTAGTTTCCCTAGTCAGGAAACACTCCTTAATAGGAGAAATTATGTGCTTTCCTTCTATTCCTCATGGTACCCAACAGAGTGATTTGGACATTACAGATATTCAGTCAACAGGAGGGTGAAGGAAGCACATGGATGGTCTCAGATTTAAGGATTAGAGGAAGTATTAAGACTTCAAAGGTATCTAGAGTACACCCTTGTGAATATGTGAGTCTGTCTACCTGGTCCTTTACTGATGCCTCTATTTATCAATTTTCTCTAAAACACATTTGGATCTTATTTATTTTGTAAAATTCCTAGAGGTAGTAAGTGAGCAGATAATTTTACTGCTAGATGGAGAGAAGTTTGTATTTAAATTTCCCTCTGGATGAAAATAGTAATTCATACAGTACTCTTTTGATACATAAATAGTATGTATACTAAGTAAAGGTTTTTTTTTAAAGTTATAATATTCTTTCAGTAGTTTTAGATAGACATTAAGCACCCCGTGTCTAATCGATCACTAACTGGCAGTCTTTCCTTTCACAGATGGAAGACCTTTAGCTCTGAAGGACATCTGGGAAGGAGTTCATGAGTGCTATAAGACGCGGTTGCTGCAGGGACCATGGGACACTATTACTCAACAGGTTAGAGAATGTTTTCATTTTTATATGTGATTCTTTCCCTCTGCGCGTCTTTTCTTCTAGTTCTCTCTCCTCTTTTTTTTTTCTCCTATTTCATTCCTCTACTTCCTTACAGATTTCACTTCAAATACACTCTCCTTTAAAACATCTTACCAGACCCAGTCTTGGTTTAGCTTCTCTGTATAAGTCCTCATAGCACCCTGTAATTTTCCTTCATAGTACATGTTACAAATTTAAATTATGTATTTGGATTTTTTAAATTAATTTTTTCCATTATACTGTGTGCACTCTTGTGGGCAGACTTTGTTTTTTTCTCTCCATTGTATAACCAGCACCAGCACAGTACTTATCATACACTAGATTTTCAATAAAAATGTATTAAGCGAGAACAGAAACAGAGTTGGCATATACACCAAGAATTGGATGATTTAGTGTGTGTCACCTCATAATGCTTCAGAGTTTTACTCATAGGTGCATTTGCAAAAAAAAAAAAAAATTACTTTTGATGAATAATAGGTTTGCAATAGTGATCTGAAAAAGTTGCAAAAATAGATCTGCAAAAGTAGATATAAAAAGTATATTTGCAAAAGTAGAGAAAATAGGTTTGTCAATCATGTAAGTCATTATTACTGCCTTGCTAAAATCAGCAACTAATTATTTTAGAAATTAAAAAATATTCATTACCTTGCAACCAATCATGATCTCTTTTTTACTTATATCAAAAACCGTATTTTCTCCCAGCCTCTGTTAAGCTTAATCAAAGCTTCCTTTAAAAATGACTTTATCAGCCATTAGAATTTTTGTGTCCTCTTATGTGTTTGATCATAATGACAGTTTACCTCCCAATCAGCTTAAGAATCCTCAGCGTCTCATATGTAGCTCTCTGACAATGATTGCAAATGACCATTCCTTAGGTTTTAATTGAGGAAAAAAACTAGTTTTAAATACGAGTCACACACCAGCACAACCCCCCTCAAGTTAATCCTTGTTTTCCATTCCTACTGTCACCTTCCTGATTCCCACCCTGTTGCCTCGCCTGGAACAACTAGTAAAACCGCCTACCTTTGCTCTCCTGCTCCTTTCCTCCTTGCCCCTTCCCTTTGGTCGTGTTTTCCTAACCATGCAACACTTATCTTACCCATGTGTAAGCCTGCAGCAGCTGTCCAAGGGGCCATGGTGTGTGGTCTAAATGCCTTGCCTAGGTTCCAGGGCTGCCCGTCCCTGGGTCCTGCTGCCTTTCCAGCTTATCGCCTCCTCCTCCACACTACACGGTCTCAGCTCCTGCCAAACAGGGCCGTTCCCTTCCCCAAACCCATCCTTACAGTGTGTTCTTGGAGTTCTTTCCAGGTTTAATGCTTTCTCTGTTGCCTTTGTTCTATCTCTATATTTCCCCCTCATTCTTTCACATGTCCCTTTCTCGGAAACCACTTCAGCTTACAAAAATGGTCCCTTTTAAGTCCCAGTTCTGTAGACCAGAAATCAGTGGCTGCTATGAGAAGGATAATGTAATGAGATATATAAGCAGATCCATCAGAAAGGTTTTTGGCAAGAGCATTTTATTTTATGCAAAGTGTTTTAGGCTAACCTTTAAGTATGTCAAGGTGAGTGCTAAGTGATTCAACTTCCAGTGTCTTGTCAGTGACCACAAACTGTCCAAAAATATAAACTGTAGAGTCAGAATCCACAGTCCCCAGAAAATGCTTGGTTCTGAGAGTCAAGGAAGACGGCAAGGATAGAGGAAGAGAGCATCCAAAAATATATATGTATTTTAACTGTAGTGCCTTTTTTGTCTGTTTCTTCTCAATTATATTTTATATTATGCACCTGAGCCCAAATCTTATTTTTTTCCTTTTTCTGTCTCTAGCAGCCCTACCATTAATCTCCTCAGTGCAAACCAAAGCACAATTCTGGATGGTTTGTGTCATTTTGGGCTTTAATTTCACATGTCTCTGTTCTGACTTGTGACATATATATAAGATTTTTGAACTCAACCATATATTCTTAGTTTCCTAATATGATGTTGCCAAGAGATTTTGTTCCACTGATAGGATTCCTAACTTGCTAACCCAACCACATGACCCAATCTGTATATTGATAGTTTTAAATGGAATTGACTAGTATCTTTTTAAGCATGATACAGACTGCCTGTTAGCAGACCTTCTTTTTCCTTCTTAGCAGAGTATGTTAGTAATGATCAGATCCTATCACAATAAGCATTACTATCTCAATACCAAGTATGAGGCCCACTTGTTGGGAGGGATATTTGATATACCCAAATGGTAACCTAAGTATAACATTTAGATGTTCCTTTGGAATGTGTCTTATTGGGATTGATCTTGTGGACAGGTATCCCCACTTTTTATAACACACTTTATTTAAGCTTTAGAATTGCTCATCACAGTGTATCTCCAGGCACTGAAGACCTAGCAAGGGAAATTCATTTGTTGCCATTGTACTCACTTGGTGTTGAAACTCATTATGAATATTCACTTTGGAGGTCTTAGTTTTTAATCTCAGTTTAGTTAATGGGTTGCTATTTATGTGTTGTTCTTTGCCTAATATCTTTGAGAGAGTGTGTCCTCATTTTTGTAAGGCCCCATGTGGAGAAAAAATAAGGTGTCCTCAGTGCAGAGAAGGCAATGGCACCCCACTCCAGTACTCTTGCCTGGAAAATCCCATGGATGGAGGAGCCTGGTGGGCTGTGGTCCATGGGGTTGCTAAGAGTCGAACACAACTGGGTGACTTCACTTTCACTTTTCACTTTCATGAGTTGGAGAAGGAAATGGCAACCCACTCCAGTGTTCTTGCCTGGAGAATCCCAGGGGCGGGGGAGCCTGAAGGGCTGCCGTCTGTGGGGTTGCACAGAGTCGGACTCAACTGAAGCGACTTAGCAGCAGCAGCAGCAGCAGTGCTGTGAGGGCGGAGGGTGTGATACGGCACTTGGAAAGAGTGAGCTGATAGGATATTGGTGGCACCAAATTGTAGACACCATTTTGCAGAATTATACTAAACAACCATTAGCTTGCAGACTGAACTTGATAATAATATCCTGTCCTTCAGAGTGGCTTAAAAACAAAAGCAATCTTTGCATAATATAACATGCATTTCACTTCATTTTCAGGCTTGATTGTGTTCATATAGTTTGTTGTTCTTCATCTTCAGTAATCACACTTCTGTTCCCTCAGCATTTGTCTTGATGATAAGGACCTATTCATGTCAGTTATGAACTCTCTCTTTTGAAGACAAGCCACTCATGAATCTCATACATTTGATTATGCTGATTACTTACCTGCTTTTGTCCAACATTATGGACTACCTATTATCTCAACCCAGCAGCCTAATAAAGAATTTCTAGAAGAAAGTGAACAGGTGCCTAGCTTGGATCTGCCTAAATTGGTACAGTGACTGTTAGAATAATGATCACTGGAAGGTATGGGTTCTGTGTTTTAGGTAAAGAACTCCTATAATCTTGGCAGAGGCTAAAATCAAAAGATAAGAAATCATACTTCCAGTTTTATTTGAAGATATGTATATTTATATATGTGAGTGTGTAGTTTGATGCATTGGAAAAGGACATGGCAACCCACTCCAGTGTTCTTGCCTGGAGAATCCCAGGGATGGGGTCGCACAGAGTCGGACACGACTGAAATGACTTAGCAGTAGCAGTGATCAGATAAGTAATTTGTTCTTACTGTCTTCTTTTAACTTTATATCATGGGAAATTATAAACATAATACAAAAGCAGAGATAATAGTGTAGCACAGTGGTCCTCAACCTTTTTGGCACCAGGGAAGACAACCACTCACTTGCTATGCAGATGGTTTCCTAAAAGGCCATGTATAGGTACTGGGGGTTTGGGACCCTGGTGTAATACACTTACAAACTAATGACCAATTTTATTTTGGTATCTCACCTGATCTAATTTTTTTGGTACCACATTCTAGGCCTCATATTATCTCATCCGTAATTATTTAATTATGTATTTTTAGAAGATAAGGGCTCTTCACAAATGTTTATAGCAGCTTTATTCATAGTAGCCCAAATGGAAACAACTCTGAAGTTCTTCAGGAGGTGCATGGTTAAATAAACAGTGGTGCATCCTTACCCTGGATACTACTCCGGAATTCAAAGGAACCCACTATCGATACACTTAACAACCTGAATGAATTGCCAGAGAATTGTTGAATGCAAAAAGTCAATTCCCAAAGGTTACCTAGTATCTGATTCCATTTAGCTAACATTTTTGAGATGAGAATATTATAGGTTGGGTAATAGACTGCAGTTTTCAGAGGTTATGGGTAGGAGGAAAGTGGATGTGGTTATAAAAGGCAAGGAGGGAATCATGTGGCAATAGGAATGTTCTGTATCTGACTGTATCAATGTTAGTAACATGGTATGATAATGTAGGTTAGTTTTGCAAGATATTACCATCAAGGGAACTGAGTAAAGGGTATGAGTGATCTCTTTGTATCATTTCTTACAACTGCATGTGAATCCACATTATCTCAAAACAAAAATGTTTATTTAAAAAAGGTAAGAATTCTTAAAAAAAAAACCACAATTCTTTTATCACAATTAAAGTTGTTAATAATTTCTTAATATCATTAAGTAAGCAAATGTTTGAATGGCATTAGCCTTTCTCCAAGGAGGTTTTCTTCCTTTCAGAGTGTTTATCTAGGTGCTACACCAGGCAGAGTGGATTTAACTTTGGGCACCACCACTTACTAGCTGTATGACCTTGGGCAAATTACAAAAACTCTTCATGTCTTATTTTTCCATTAAAATTAATGGCAGCATCTACATAGAGTTGCAGGGAAGAGTAAGAGAAACGGTTGTATACAAAACTCAACCTATGTCATCTCCTTTCAAATATATAGTTTCTAACACCTGAACTGTGTGCTTTAGATTTGGAAAACTAGGAATTTTGAAGTACTTTATTTTCTGATTATATATGTCTGGGGAAGGCTGTCCAAGTGCGAATAAATGAATGGGATTGGTTGGAT